GTCTTGGATAATTTTGGCCAAATTTGTAATTCTGGCCGAAATTAACATCACGTGACACCGAAAAATAGTTTAGCCACCGGGCAAAAAATTTTTTATCGGCTGGCATGAAAATTTAATGTTACACAATTTGTAATTCTGGCCGGCGTTATGAATTCTGGCCAGAATTATTGCCGATCATTTGTAAATCCAATCCGGTTTCCGGTTTCTATCCGGATTATCTGATCCGGATTCAAAATCCGGGTCAATCCGGATATAATCCGGATTTTTTTTTTGTGTAATCCGGATGACGGTTTTCATCCGGGTCGAAGCACTAGTTGGGTGATGCGTTAACGTCATTGTTAACATAAGATTAGTTTTCGAGTAATTTCATTTTTAAGATGCTAACTTTAATTTATTTTAATATGATCGGCAGCAAACAAATCAGATGATCATTCGAGGTCCCGGATTGGTTGGAGGTTTCCTATTCAAGAAAAGTATCGGAAAAGCATAATACGAGATATACTGTACAGATAGTACTGCGCATGATTTTCGGAACCGGTTAAATGTTAACCGGTTAAAGCTAATGCATTCTAGTATTGCAGTATTACCAGTTAAATTTTTTTTTTGAACAATATGTGTCACCAAGCCTTTATTTGATAAATTAAGTAGATGCACGTTAATTAACCGGTTTCAGACTATCAGTTGTATCGGCTATATTCTTCCGTCGGTTAAAAATGTTTAAAATGAATAACAAATCTAAAGATGCATACATTTAAATAACTCGCATGTGAATTTAATGAGAAAATGTCCATTGGATAAACTCCCCGGAATTCGAATTATTATATATAAAGAATTAAATCATTTTTTTGTGTGTGTATATTTATCAAAAAAAAAAAAAAAAATGATTAAAAGAAAATCAATTTTATTATTATTGGTGCCCTTCCTATTAAACCTAGTCTTTTGTGTCAATTTTATTACTGCAGTACAAAACGATATTTCTAAAAGAGTTGATATAGATCGCTCAAACATACCTAAAAATATTTTGTTTGGTTCTTTTATGGGCGGAAGAAGTCATGTTAAACCAATGCTAGACATTGCTACGATATTGGCTGAAAGAGGCTACAATGTAAGATTTTTTTTTTATTAACGTTGATGATCGATGATCAACTCTCTCATATTTTCATTAACGATATAAAGGTAATATTATTGGCATCCGGAAATAATGTATTGTCATCAGAGTATCCAGCCGTTAAACAAATTTCATTAGGTCCTGGCATGGGCATGAAAAATTTAGGAAAGGATGGAATTGATGAAGAACAAGATTATAATGCCATGAAAAGTCTCTGGGAAATGGGCGTAATATCCTACAAAAGAACATACGAAAAATACAAAAGTGTTGTTGAAGATTACAATATTGACTTAATATTTTGCGATTTACTGATAAATGAAGCCTGTATAGATGTTGCTAACACACTAAAGAAACCCGTTGTTGTGTTGGTTTCGGCACTTCAAAGTAATTACAAATATTTTATTATTATTTTTTTTTTAAAAAAAATCATTATTAAAAAAATTTTCTTTTTTTTAGTCGTGGATCCTAAACCATATAAATTTGACCCTATTTTAGGCTGTAACATTTCATTAGAAAATGAATCAATTTGGGAAAGATTTAGATGTAATTTTATTCAAGTGTTTCGATATGTTTATTCGTTAAGTGACTTTACAAATCAGTTAAATGAAATGAGAAAACAAATGAATGTTGACCTTGGTCAATTGACTCTTGGAGGTTTTAAAGCTTCTTTAGTTTTGATTGATACTTTCTTTGGTTTTGAGGTAATTATTAATAAATAAATTATTATTTGTCGAATTTTGTTTAAATTAGTAAAAACGGTTTTTTATTTTCATTCTTAAAGTTACCACAAACTTTGCCGCCATATATTCAGGTAAATATATCATTACTTTTATTATATTAATATGAAATATCAATCTTTAATTTCTTCTTTCTTAGGAAATTGGACCAATATTATCAGAAGAATATCCACCACTCACGCCTGAACTTTCTGATTTTATAAATGGGCACGAACGCGTTTTATATGTATCTTTTGGTACACTTTACTCTACAACCACTGATAATAACAGTAAACTTTTACAATCGTTTATTGAAGCAATTAACAAAAAAATAATTGATGGTGTAGTTTGGGCATTAGTTGAGACACCAAAAGATTATTTTTATCCAACATTAAAATTATCTGATGGTACACAAATTCAATCTTCGCAAATTCTAAATAATGAACATCCACATATCCATATTGCAGAGTTTGTTCCACAATTTGCTATACTTAATCATACTAATACAAAATTATTTTTTAATCATGGAGGTGCAGGAAGTGCTCATGAATCTCTTTATACTGGTACTCCTATGTTAGTTTTACCTTTTGCTGGTGATCAGATGGGTAACGCTCAAAAATTAGTTTCAGCTGGTGTAGCATCATCATTAAAATTGACCACTTTGGATGTTAATGATATTTTAAATAAAATGGATTCATTATTAAAAGAAGAGAATGTAAAGAATAATTCAGAGAGATTAAAAGTTTTAGCTAAAATTAATAGTAAGAGAAAATATAGAGCTGCTGATTTAATTGAATATATTTTACATAGCAGTTCTTTTGTTGAATATGTCGATGATGACTTTTTAAAGGAATGGGTTCCTGCTGAAACTAGGATGGGATTTATTAGAGCATATAATCTTGATATTTATGCAATTTTAATAGGTATCGCTCTTAGTATCATTGGAATAATTGTTGTTAAATTAATTAAATTCATTGGTTTCATTATAAGTCCTTCATCAGATGATCAAAAATCAAAAAAAGATTAAGCATTTAAAAAATTCTGGTTTGGGTATTGGTCAAACTATACAACATAACTTACTATTATTTGAATTTTTAAATTTCTTTTATGTATATTTTTTAAAATAAATCTTTATTATAAATATTGTATTATAACATTACATATTAAAAAAATTCAGTGCGTAAATATTAAAATCCAGTATTATTAATTGAAAGTGTAAGGATACTTGAGCAACAGGTTCAACATTTGATATAACGGTAACATTCTATTTAAGAATAAATTATTTAATTATCACTATAATATTAGGGAAATTCATACTTTACTGGATTAATAATTATCAAATCTCAACACTCTTAGTGTAGAAATAATTTTCTATAGATTCTCTGTAAAAAAAGTTGATCCGTTTTTATATTCCATCTTTTTCCGTAAAAGGCTCATATTTCAGGAATTAATAATCTTATATCATGGAATTTATCGAATTACATACATTTTGATCCGGGAAAGTCCCATTTTTATGGAGTTTTTATAGAAATAATGGATAAAATTTTTATAGGGATCCCTGGTTAAGAAAAAATGATAATATCGTTTTTTCATAAATATTATCGAAAAATGTACGACAAAATGGGCATATCGGACATATTGGAACGTTGATGAAAATATTAGCGATATTTACGATGGAAAATATGATGATACTGACCCGTTTTCACACAGATTCACATTTAAAATAATGAAATATCTTACATTCCTAATCGATTAGCTATGACTAAATTTACTTGTCACAATTAGTGAATTCGTTATGTCGAAATTGTAGAAATTATTTTTACCATTTCGACAATGACCTTCTTTATTTTCAGCAAGCAACTTTAGATATGACTAGAGATGGCAATGGTTGGCCAAAACGGTCGGCAGGTTACAACCGTCAATAGTTGATACACAGAAGCAAATTTTAAAGAAAATTAATACACTCTTATTACAATAGCAAAGTGCATACTATGCATCATAGCCCAAGTTACGATTAGTAAAATTTACTTATCAATGCCATGATTGTCTAAATTTAAATGCTTCTGTCACTACTTTTACATTAATAGAGATTTGATTAAACTCAAGTCATTAATAAACTAATTATCATTGTAATACGAATTCTCATTAATTATTTTTAGTAATCTCCTATTTTCTTAATTTTCCATTAAAGTTATTTACAATCATTCACTATTCACTACCAAGTCATTTCTATATTCTTAAATCATTCTTATTTTTTTCATAAATCTTTCCTTTATATATTTCCACTTTTCTGTCACATTATTTGTGAAATTTTCATATAATACAAATTCGTATGTAGTATATTCTGATTTTGCAGAGTGATGATACTTATCTATTTTTAATGATAGTGTTTACACCAATGATGTGGATTTTGTATAAATAAGCTGCACCATTTGTATATGTAATCGAAAAAAACTAATGTCCATAATTAATTCAGACATACTATTTAATTTTCATATATATATACAGTATATTAGCACATTGATTTTCTCAAGAAAATTGTAATCAACATCAGTATTATGCTAATTTGCAGGATGCGTCACAAATTTTAGGTGGAGCATTTATTTGTCAGTGTAATGCCATGATGCAGGCCAAAAATCACGTGACTGCAACTTTTTTTGTCATATCTGTAGAGTATTGAATTCACAATAATGTTTCAGATATTTGTCGATTGAAATAAAATGTATGATAAAATGAATTTTGGTTTATTTTTTTTTTTTTACTTTATTACTAATCTCCAAAATCATATTATAGATTCGAAATCATATTATCTTAGATTTCTCTCGCTAAAATTAACATTCTCTATAATTTATTTGAGTACGAAGGATATGATTTGGCGAAAATTTGTGTTTAATTTATTTTATATTTACAAAGAAAGACTATTGAAATGTGAGAATCATCTCGTAGTGATAGAAAAAAATGATCAAACACACAATTTAGAATACATACAGTAGCTTCATGCCAAGGGTATCCGGACTTTTCGTCAAAGTCCATTTCATCGAAACATATTTCGCCGAAGCCATTTCACCGAAGGGATATTTCATCAAAGTACCATTTCGTCCGAAATACCATTTCACCAAAACCCCATTTCACCGAATTCCATTTCGCTGAAGCCATTTTATCGAATGGACATCTTCATCTCGGCTATCTCTCTGATGCTTTCTTTTTCTATTACTTTTTTATTTCCTGTTTTTTCTCTAATTAATCCTTAGTTAATATTCCTTATAAAGAAATATTATAAATATAATCTAAATGGAGGTAATTTTTTATTAAAATTAAAAATTCTTTTTTAAAAGAAATTTAATCCTTTTTCAGTTTTTCTATTTTATTTTTTCATTTATTTTTAGCTACTCGCCGAATTGACATTTTGCCAAATGGACATTTCACCAAAAAATTATTTATTCCATTTAGTTATTTTATTGTTTTTATACTAAATACATAAAGAAATCTTTTCTAGAATCTAGATAAATTTTTGAATTAGCTGATTTTTATTAATTTATCTCGTTATTTATAAAAATTACTTTTCGTGGAGGTCGTCTAAAGCGGGGCAAATCACGTGATTCGGTGTAATTTTAATTAGATTAATTTTTTATAAAGAAAGATTAATAGAAACTTTAAAATCATAATATAAGCGTATTTTTATCTGCTTTGCAAGTTTACTTAAGGAAAAAAAGTGGATTATGAATATTGTTTTTGACTTTACATATGAATGAACGAAACTTTGCCGATCATATCCAAAAATGGATAACGAAATTGAAAAAGTCAAATAAATCAAAAACAGCATTCAAAACCCTACTCTGCGCTCTAAGTAAACTTGCAGAGCAGGCAAAAATGCATTTAGTATGTGTGTTTAGAATGGTTGAATATATGGTGAAAAGTTTTATTTTATGAAAACAATTTTTTTCGAAGTCACGTGATTTGCCCCTGCTTTAGACGACCTCTTTTCGTGAATAAATGTTTTCAGGGATAAAGTTATTTATTTATTGCTTAACAATTATGTATTAGTACATATGGGCCGATTTGACGCATCATACCAAATAGTAACCAATTCCCATTTACTATGAAATTATCACATGCAATGCGTCAAATCAGCCCATACGAGTAAATAAATGAGTTATGAAGGATGATAACCCATTTATTTACTACGTATAGACGTATAGTAGTAAATAACTTTTTTATCATCCTGGACACGGGCGTCTAGTTCAAATTAAAAAAAAGATATTCAAAATTGGACGGGTGAAACTATTTTTTTAAATGGTTTGAAAGTTTTTTTTTAAAAAAATAGAAAGAATAACAGAAGAAAAATAAAATGTTAATGGTTTAAAAAAACTCTTCTAACAAAAAAAAAAGAATACCAGTTTCATAAACCGTTTTTTTTTAAAAAAAAAGTTTTGATTATCCGATCAGTAAAACAAATTGGTACGATGAGTCATATGGTCAATATTCATTTTGTACTACGACCTTCGACTGATTTATAACCCCCTAAGATTTAAATAGACTTTTGACATAAAAGTCTAAATTAGTTTCTTTTTTAATCAGGTTCGGACTCTTTTTTTTTCATTTGATTTCACATAAAAAATTTACTGATAAAAATTTTACTTAGATGCAAACGAGATAAAAGTATAGAATCTAGAATAGGTTTTTTTTAAGTTTATGATTTTTTATTAACTTTTATACTTGTAAGGGAGATACTGTGGAGGGAAAGTTAAGGGTATTAACTGGAAGTTGGAGCCATCTCCTTTTGGAGTTTAATTTCAGTTTATCATCAAATTCTCTAGAGATGGACAAATTTTCCTTATAATAATTAAAATTTTCTTTTTCAGGGTTTATTCTTCTTTGGTTAGGTTTTGTTTATTTTTTTTTAGTTTTTGCAACGGATGAGAAGGATGAGAAGATTTTGGAGATTTATTTATTGGGACCTGAGATCAAATCATTGCACGATAGTACATATTAGATTAGTTAGCCCTCTGTATTTAGACTAGATTAAACTTTGCTATAGAGTCGTATGATCCTTGAGGTCTGCAGTTCTAGTATTTTGAAATTAATATGTACTTGTACAGAAATTAATAAAGAAATGCAGTGCAATTTTTTTTTTTAAAAAAAGACTTTTTTTTGTAGTTTCTTCTGTTTCGACTCTCGGACTTGGAATTTATTTTTGTAGGTCAGTTCATTTCGATTTCCGGACTTGAGTCTCTTTTTTGTAGGTTTCAGCTTTCAGTTCTTGGGCGTTGGATATATAGGCGAGTTTTTGAAGCAAAAACTTCAAAACTTTTTAAAAGAAAATTATTTTTTATTTTTTTTTTCTTCTATTTTGTAGGTTTCAGCTTCACGTTGGATATATAGGTGAGTTTGAAGAGCTTCAAAACTTTCTTAAAAAAAATTATTTAATTTTTTTTCTTCTACTTTGTAGGTTTCGACTTTCAGTTCTTGGGTGTTGGATATATAGGTGAGTTTCAGAGTGAAAACTTCAAAACTTTTTTTTTTAAAAAAAATTTTTTAATTTTTTTTTCCTTCTATTTCGTTTCTTAGGTATTGAATATATAGGCAAAGTTTCGGAATGAAAGAATCGAAATTTTTTTAAAAAAATTATTTTTTTTAATTTTTTTTAATTTTTTTTTTTCTTCTATTTTGTAGGTTTCGGCTTTCAGTTCTTAGGTTTTGGATATATCATATATAGATAAGTTTTGGAGGTGAAAACTACAAAACTTTTTTTAAAAAATTATTTTCTTTTAATTTCTTTTTTAATTTTTTTTCTTCTATTTTGCAGGTTTCGGTATTTTGTTCTTTGGGTTTTGGATAGGTGAGTTTCGAAGTTTTGCTTTCTTTTCAAAACTTATCATTGAAGGATGGTTAGAGTTAGTAGTAAGGAAATCCTATAATAGGTCTTTGTGTTTGGCGAAATTGGGATAAGTCGATCAATTAATGAAGGACATGACCATAAATGAAGCTTGGATTCAATTTCTTGGTTACAAAAAAACATGAGGAGTGTCCTTGTAGGAGTCCGGGGAAATTTCGATTTAGGATATTCAAAGTGGGAAGATTATGTGTCGGCGTTCTCATTTTCCAACTTTCGATCTTGCTTAGTTTGAGTGACGTAAGACGATTGAAGTGGTTATATAACATCCAGATATGGGTATAATGCCAATTGATGTGGTTAGAAAGTGTCGGATCTTTGATAATTGATGAGTTTTTTAAAAGTTTTCGGATGTTTCTATCAATAGTGAATTCGTGATTGGAATTTAGGCCAGAATTCATCTAATTCTAATCATATTACTTTAACCCTAACCCTGGTAACTAACTTACTCGACTTACCCTCCCTAGCTCCAACAAAAACTAATCCTAACCCTAAAATTATAAAATTTGGTCAGGATTATTAATAAGAATTACAAATCACATGATATGTACATTCCTGCCGAAGTTATGAGCAGCGCTTACGTCAACTCCTCAAAGACAAATTAGTAGCTCTTAAAAGAAGAATTGACTCGACCGCTTAAAATAATCGACAAACCATCAGGGCACACGTGACCAACATCAATTTCAACTCATGTCCTCTTCCAGCAGCGTGTTATGTCAAAACGTATGGAAAGCCGTCCTTGACAAAAGGTTGATGTCCAAACATCATGAAATATAATATTTAGACATCATGATGGTATGTCTAGACATCATGTTTGATATATGTAGGATGATGTTTATACATCATTCAACATGATGTGAAAGACATCAACCGACATGATGTCTAGACATCATGCTGATCAAATTACCAAATATAGTATATTTATGAGTTACACAAAATAAAATTTACTATATTTGGTAACATGATGTCTAAGACATCATGTCGGTTGATGCTTGAGCATCATGTTGAATGATGTACAAACATCTATGGCACGCCGGACTGGACAGATGTTTAAACGTAAAAGCTAAATCATTTGACGTTTAAGGTTAACTGCGAAATTCAAATGATTTGCTGTACCGACAAACTGTTTGACTTTATAGTTAAATTCTTTGCCAATACTGTCAAACAGTTTGGCGATATGAAAATAATTTTCCATATTTGGTTAAAATTCAAATGGTGCAATTTAAGTAATAATTTTCTTTTTAAAAGTCTCGTGAAATCCTATTTCCTTTATAGGAAATTTGTTTATAGATTTGCAAATACTTTGGAATTAATGGCAAATGCTTTGGGAATTAATGACAAATGCTTTGGAATTAATGACAAATGGTTTATATTTAACACCAAATGCTTTGTACTCCAAAGTCAAATGATATGGTGTTAACGTCAAATGATTTAGCTTTTACGTTTAAACATCTGTCCAGTCCGGCGTGCCATAAACATCATCCTACATATATCAAACATGATGTCTAGACATTATCCAACATGATGTCTGGATATCAACCTTTTGTCAAGGACGGCTTTCCATAAAAACGCTGCTGGTACTGCGGTGCTCATCATGAAAAAAGCAACAAACTCGACATTAACTCATGGAGAAAGTCGTTTCCCAAAAGGCCCTCATTTTCACGAAGAACAATTTTATTCTCGTCTCACTCATAGCGCACTCAAACAAAATAAAAATGTCAAAAACGTTAATTCCCAACGCTTATGCGTTAATTATACTGTGACGATACACAAATACAACAAGTCTATAGGCGAGCTCAATCCTGAATTGAAGCAAATGATGGACCCTCCCCCGGACATTCAGAAAAGATATTATTACAAAGAATACTCTAACCTCAAATTAGACGTCCACCGATCTCCAAAACAGATAGAGCGATGGAACTGCCTTACTAAAAGTACTCTAAATCACGAATATTATCACAACAAAATCACTTCGATAATATTAGACACCAAATGTGTTCGAACGCCACATCCTGCGTTATTTAAACAAATCCAACATTTGCCTGAAAAACACAGCGGATTTGAAAAACGAAAACGACATAAACGAAGGATTAAAAACTGGATACGTCGTAATCGAAAACGCAACAAATTGAAAAAACAATTCCCTCCTTTACCTCCGGGTACACCTGGTGATCTACGCATCTACACATATTATAAAAACACTTATAATATTAACCTTTTCGATTACAAAGTTAGGAAGCGTTTCGATCCAAATCCAACAACAACGTCACTTACGCCGTTACGCGATCTCTCAAGTCTCAACGCGATAGCGCTATTATCAACGACCCTAACTCCTTTTTCCGACGTATTCCTACACCTGACAACTACTCACATAGTGCTGTGAGTGATAATTCATACACTTCAGAAAAATCGGACATTACCGCCATCTATTTACCTTCTACATCAAAAGAATAGACATCATACTAAAACAATTATGGACCTTATTAAAATACACCATTCTATACCTGACAGTATTTACGTATAGTATCCTTATGGATAAAAGAAAATACGGATTGATAGATTAAACGACTAATCTTTTTTATAACTAGTTCTTTTGTCTTCCTCATTGTTTTACGTTCCAGTTTGTTCTTATAGCGTAGTCAAATCGAAGGGTGAGATCCTCTCTTGAGGGACGACCACCGATCTACTACTTAGATAGTCATTTTGTTTCAAAACTTGGTTATTAAATGTAATAGACCCTGGTTACTACTCTTTTAAAAATAAAATAAATAAATAAAATACTGTAATTATTTCATAACTAACAAGTTAGTTCAGTACAAATAAAGAAAAACGCATCAAACTACAATTGTCGATTTTATGTCTGCAATATCTGGTGTTTTATTTTAACGTATAGTTTTTGAATTTTTGTTCCCGAAAAGAATAAAAAATCGGATTTAAAAAATATATTTTTTTGCTGAACTTTTTTTATATTTTCTTTTTAGGCTAAAATATTTCATTTTTGATTTTCACATTATTATAAAGAAGTTAATTCCGGATTTTGAATTACAATACAACGGTAAATTATAATTTATGTAATAATGGGATGCTACAAGCTAAATTACTATTCATTCAGCAATTCTACAAAAAATCCAACACGTAAGAGCGAGAAAAATTTTTATTACGAGTCGCACAGACCTGGAGGCGGTTATGCAACACACCAAAATAATAAAGATTTACAGGACGAATTACATGGTACAACGCAAAATCTGCAAACAACTGAAGTATTATAAATTACTTCATAATGTGACTTCCAACTCGTACTTTTTAGAGTTTATTTATTATTATTTACTGTAGTAATACATTGTTTAAAAAATGATGATTAATTAATCTCATGAAAGATAATTCCATTATGTACTGTACGTATATATATGTAGTGTGTCAATTTACGTCAGATGCCAAATATAATTTTTTTAAGAAGAAATAAAAATCTGAAATTTTAAAATTATATACTTACAAATATGACGAATAAATTAATACTGAAAAATTGTGTAATAACATTATTTATAATAAATAACTCAATATTTAAAATATTTGCTCAGAATATATGCAATTTGTTATATGATGCACAAGTTTTATTTATTAATAAAAAAAATAGTTCACTTGTAGTAAACTATTCAAAATTGACATCTGACGCGCTTCAGTTCGTCAGAGACATATCATACATATAATATTCTAATTTACAGTACTTGTACGCTACTAACCATTATATATATAAAGCGTCGAAAGAAGGTTTATTGTAATCAATACAATATTTCTTTCAAATATAATTTTTATCTAATTCATCATTACTAGATAATTTATGTTGATAAGTATTCTTAACCCTATTTTTGTTTCTATATTGTCTTGTTCTATAAACGGCAAATATTGATATGCATATAAGAGCTACTATTACAACAACGATTGTAACAACCCAACGTGCCTTTAATTCAAAATTTTTCGAAAATGAGCTATTACCAACCGATACATCCGTTTGAATGGGAGTAGAAGCAGAACTGGAACTGTTTGATGATGTAGTTGATGTAGGTTTCCCTTCAAAACTAGCTAATAATGACCATTTATACTTTAATGGATCTGATATATTTAATTTATATATATCTTTGTTATTAGATTTCAATTCCTTTGTTTCTGATTCATTTTTACCTTTAAAAAAATTCAAAAAAGAAATTAACAATTTAATTAACCTTTATATTATGTAAAAAAATAAATAAATTAAATTTACCAAACGCAAATATCATATAATTGTTAGCCATCACTGCTGTATGTTCGCTAAAAGCTCCAATAGGATCTTCTTCTGTTAGTGTTACCCATTGGTATGGCGCTTTTGAAGTATCTAATACCGCTAATTGTGGTAAAGCTGGTACATTATTTATTATTCCACCAAATAAAATTACACGTCCATCCGAAGCTAAAAAAAAAAAAAATTAATAATGAATGAAATTTTAAAGGATTTTTTATGACTATTTTTTTAACGCTTACTTGAAACAGCTGTATGCTTGGTACGTTCTTGAGGTGCTGCACCTACTGTGTTCTTATATATTCACGCATAAAGAATAAATAATCAATTAATTTAATTTGTATAAAAGAAATAAATCTTTTTTTTTTTACATACCGTTATTTGCCAAGTATCTTTATTACTATCATAAGTTAGTAAACTTTTCATTGACTGGTGTTCATTACCAAGTTTTCCACCAATGAACAAAATTTGACCATTTGGTATCATAACTTGAACAAAATCGTCGTAAAAGGTAGATTTCTTCGCGAAAAGATTTTTAGGAGTTGAAATACCAGATCCAACCGATAAATTAATAGTATCAAGTATTGTCATTCCTTTATTAATTGAATCAAATGTATAGGCCTTTCCAGTTTTACCATCAGAAACCCAACCATTAAGATCAGAAAAGAATCCCGGTGTTAAAGATTTGACATTTTGATTTATTATCCATTGTTTTGGTGTAGTATCAAATGAATTAGCGGTTACCGATTTACCGTCGTCTGAATCAAAGAACATTATTTGATCATTAACTTTACCGCCCAAGACTGGTCTAGTAGATGTGCGTTCTGGTCGAGGTTTAATATCGGTGAGGTCAATCCATTTGGATTGATCAACGTGAGTATCGCTATCTAATGATACTCCTGTTAAATCTACGTAAAAAAAAGAGATTTCTGGGAAGCTTAGATAATATAATTTATTCCCAGTAAAAATAGATTTATACCCAGTTCCACCGGTAAAAAATAATTTGCAATTTGCAAATTTAATATAATTAAAAATTATTATTAGAGCCGTTGAAAAAATTAATTTAAATAATAAGTACTGCATTTTGTATATATATATATATATATAACGTTTATTAAAAGAATGTCAATTTTAAGAAAAAATAAAAATAGGGAAAGAGAAGGAAGAGAATTGAAACGATGTAAGAATAAAAAGCCTTTTTAATTAAAAAAAAAATCAATTCCTCAATGATATCACAGTGATAAAACAAAGTGTTTATTTTTCGTGAAACAAACGTTTTATATATAATCTGTTTTGGCAAACAAAACCAATCGGACATGTACCCGTGAAAAAAATGGTACATAACGATAAACAAAGGGTTTGTTTCAAGATTTTCTACAATATAAAAGGGAACAAAGGAAAGTAATTTGTGACATAAAACAAATATTAACTCACTCTGCACATATATTAAATAAGAATAAAATGTTACCAAATTAATTAAATTTTTAAAATATGAATTTTTCCGAAAAAATTTTTTTAAAAAAAACTACTTATATTGAATAAACTTATGAATTCAATGTAATATTTTTTTTTTTTTTTTTTTTAAGAAAAAAAAAAGAAGTAACTGGTTTACAAAACAAAAATAAACGCATTCACTCTTTTAATTATATAAAATGCCATCAAGAAGTCTTCACGACGTTCCTCTTGCCGCTTGGCAATGGCAAGGTCCATTGAGTAGATTCTTTCTGATTTTAATAATATTTTCATGGGGGCTTTTTCTCGAGTTTTGTGGTTCGCAGCCCGATTATTATCCTGAACTTAAGTACTTGATGAACTTAGGATCATTTATTGTGGCGCTTGTAGTTGGCGCTCTGGCTCAAACGACGCTCGCTCATATGTTTGCTTACTTACAAGGTTACTTTTTACTTAAAAAACAAGGAATTCCTCTTCAAGCCATCATGAGCGGAGAACAAACTCCAGCACGAGTTTTAATAGCATGTTTAATAATATTTCGACGAACACGATATAATAAACAAAGACATGGAAGCTTCTTTCAGATAATTTCATATATAAGTGTCTTATTAATATACATTTTAAGTGTTGGTATTGGTGCATATGCTGCATCTAAGTTGGGAGAACCTTACATTTTTTATAATGCTCCAATTATGTGGGCGCAAGCTCCAACACAAGGGATAAGAGACAGTCTTCTTAATGCATTTATACCAGAAAATTCCATCGATGGAATAACCGTGATACAATATAATTCATTGTCTAGCTGGGTTGATAAAACTAGAGGACGTGAAATTGAAGTGCCATTTCTGCCACAAACGTGGACTACATCAACAAATGCGACAGCAAGTGGTAACCTTAAAGATAAAGATGGTCTAATGAAGTGGAACTTGGAATTGGAATTGGATAATGCTAACTTACAATACTTAACTGCACAATGCAATGTTAATCCAGATCCTCCCTGCAATAAAGATCAAATAGTAAGGGGGACAACAATTAGTTTGATGGCTGGTAAAGAAAATAAAACCATTTCATGGAAATTGTGTGATTTGCCTCGTGACCAAGGCTCGGTACAATTGGATTGTAAGATAACTCTAAAACAAGGACTCTTTCCTCGCGTAACAATTGGGTTTCCAAATAATGGTCCTCGTGATGAAAATCTTGCAGAAGTTTTGTTACGAAAGAATGAGTTAACAGATTTAAATGAACTTACAGATGAGCTATTTGATGCAATGGAAGAGGCTTATTCACGCCCTGATTATAAACCTGACATAATTTCCAACAATGTTATAAAACAACTGGTTAGTGGATGGAATTGTGAGGGAAACAACACTTGTGCACAGCGTGTTGGAGCCTCAGCAGCTGTGAGGTATACTGGTGCATTATTAGAGTCCGCAGCTAATCTGTATCCCATAGATTATTCAATTGAATTGGATGATTATGTAGTAAATAGCAAATCAACTGGGTTCTTAACGGCAACGCATAAAGTGTGTATAGGAGGTAACAATCCAATGTTAATGGTCGGTTTAACGATATCTATACCATTATTAATGATGATTGTTGAGTTAATACCACTGTTGTTTAATAATAAAGTGTGGTGGCTGGCATCTGATATTGGATATAAACATATAGCTTTGATACGAAGTGTTACTAACATTGGTTTTTTAGAACGCACTACTCGTCCTGGTGAAATTCCATGTCAAACGATTGTTAGGTTTAATCCCGATGATGATGATCATTTTGGTCTATCAACTTATGAACCATCACCATCAAAAAAGGTGTTGGTGTAACATTTGTTTATTTGTAGTACACTTGCACGAACTTGCACGTTGTTTAATTTATTTCCATAATCAGTAAATTTAGTAGCAAATTATTATTATTATTTTTTTTACTAAATTAGTTTAATAAAAATAATTAATAAAAATAGAGATCGTTTTGACCAGATTTATCCTAGTATGTTTTTAACCTAAACCTAATAAAACCAAGTGTTAATTCCAATAATAGAATTTTCTATTAATTTCGTAACTCTTAATTTATAACGGAGTTTTCATCCGAGAATTTAAACAAATTTATACTGCAAAACGAATGTGATATATATGTATTTAAAAATTAATTTTATGATGCAAATTTACATCATTAAAAAATTTTTAAAGCGATCTGCAAATGTTCAGTTCGTTATAAAGAAAAATCTTTATATTGGTTTCTGCATCTTTTGCGTCTTAATGATATTACCTAACATTATTAATTGCTTTGAATTACTCCAATAGTCTTGTATCAGTTTTCATCCTCTATGATCTATTATGAGAAAAATAATATATTATAGTAAGACATTTTCTGTGGCGTGAGTCGTGACAATAGAATAATTGTTGAAAATAAATTAATTTGTGGTACGGTTGACAATTAGTTTTCAGTCGCAAAATGTTTATCAGGTTTAATTTATTTAATCTTAAAACCAGAGTTTCCTTAATTTTACCAAAAAATATTGATAGCTAGCGTAACCGGGTTAGCTAAATAATTTATTTGGTTAATACAGACCGAAGACATGATTCTAATCGAACTATATACCATACCATATATGGGAATCATATGGTTATTAGTAATATATTTACCAAATTTTGTGCTATTATAGCTATTATAGCTAAGAAAATAAAGCAACTCATGTTTGCACATAATTCCGCCCAGAATAAACATAATTTAGGCTAAAATCTTCATAATTCTGGCCAGTGGTGTTGTGGTGTTAATTTTCATATTGCTTAATTTCGGAGGAATATAATATTATTATGATACCTATATTATGCAAATTATTATTTGTGAAAAGGACAAAAATTGTTGCAAAAAAGAAATGGTTATGGTACAATTTACAAACAGCCATCTCACTGACATGAAATAACTGACACCGTTTGTAGACCCTTTGATCCTTTGACCAGCAAAGGGGGCGTCCTTAACGTGCTTATTCTTAGGCATTGCGAAGTGGATAATGAAGAGGATTTGGATCGACGAGGGTGTTTTAACCCCGAACGATCTAAAGAAGATTCAAAAAAAAAAATGAATCAATTCAAAGTACCGGCTGATTTGGGACGAATTCCCGGAAATATTAAGCGCGGAGAAGGGTTTTCGAACTATACAATGCTATACAATGGAGTGTACGATATTAATGTACGAACTGGCCCGAGTTTAGGAGTTATGCACTTGCACGTGATAGCGTTAACGTTAATTCCGGCCAGTTCGTACGTTAATATGGCAAATGACTTGAAATGACAAATGAATTAAATTTGTCATTTGTCATTTGAAATTCAAATGACCAGTCATTTGACCACCAATATTAAATATTTGAAAGTTTTTATCGATAATCTCATTTAACATAAAGTAAAGAAACCAAATATTAAAAATCTTATCTATGTAACAAAAATTTTTCTTAGTGCAAAAGATTTTCATATCACGTGATTTATAATTTATATTTAACGAAAGAAAATTTAAAATTTAAACATTTGCAATTTCTTGCCTTAACAATCAACTCAAATTTACTGACCAGCCAAATGAGTCATACTGAGGCTTCTTCTAAGTTCTAACATTTCTACATTACTTGATTTATTTTAGCATTATAATTTAAAGTAAATAGTATATAAATTATAAACTAAAATTAAAAAATTATGCTATATAGAAAAAATGTAAAATACAAGTCAAAATTTGGATTATTTAGCTGAAATTGCTATTTAAAATTCGACATTTCAATGTAATTTTTTATTGGCTTGTTTCTAAATTTGTATGGAGTGGTGAAGAATAATACCGTAACAACAAATTAAAATCAACCTAATAATATTATATATAATAGTTATGTAAAAATGATTATGAAAAAAAAAATTAAAGAATTGTTCGCTTAGTATTTTTCACAAATCACGTGATTCCACAATTAGGACTTGTCCAATAATCTTTCGACAAATGATCAAATAAATCATTTGGCATTTGTCATTTCGCAAATGACCCAAATGACAAATTTTAAATGATTTATGATTATGACAAAGGATTAGGCAAATCCTTTGAATGGTCAAATGATTAGGTTATTTCCGAATACTGTTAAATATCGTACACCCTCACTGTACATTAAGGAACCCTCAGCAAAGGAAGTCTGGTCGAAAAGAACCTTTTGTTGTTAACTTTGGGTCCGATCAAAGTTGATTGGGATATCTTCGTGATCAGCACTCCTGGAAATTTCTGATGATAAAGTCATGAAGTGCTCATAATATTATCATTTCTATTCGCCTCTTCCCAAAGTATTAATCACATCGCTCAGCAGGGATTTTCCACAAGTTATTCACCTTTTTGCCATTTGACTTTATAAAATAAAGTGAGAAATCTATTTTACTAGTTGTAATGTTAATAGAGTAGAATAGAATAAATTAATTGTGTATATTATGTTGAATGGCAGACTCCCTACGAAAACGAATCCAATAAGGCACAAGTACCTGGTTAAAAGACACCATTCACAAAGGTTTTGGTAAAATGAAAAATGAAGAAAAAAAAAATTCTTTTGGATAATATTGTAGACTTATCACCTTCCCTATAAAAAAATTGGATACGTTTTTTATAAAGTTTTCATACGATTTTTTTCNATCTGTCTCTTATACACATCTAGATGTGTATAAGAGACAGGGATTCATATGGAATTTACATGATTTGATCACTGATTTTATCACGAAATTTATACGATTTGGTCACTGAATTTACTATTTGTATTACAGTTTACTATAATTGTATTTTCATAAATCTAATTTTACTTTATTAAATTAAATAAAAAATAAAATACAAATATATTATGAAAATTCCCTCCTTATTAAAACCACCTATTGCAACCAAAATTATCTATAAGTTCAGGTTCATTTGGAGTCAAACAACCTAAAAAAAAAACAAAAAAAAGAAACATAAGAACGTCTAACTTAATTGGAAACAAAACCCCTCATATAGTATCTGCAATCATCCAAGTCACCAAAGGTTAGCATTCCTACAAAAAAAGAAAGAGAACTCCAGAATGTCTGACCTACATAAAAGAAAAGAATTATGAAGTATCTGATGAAAAAGAAACCAAAACAACAAAATAAATCCAAAACTGACCTACAAAAAAAGAAGACTCCGAAGCAACAAAACTGTAATAACCTATAAAAGAAAAGAATCTGAACCCAACTTACAAAAAAAAAAGAAAATTTGAACTGACCTAAAAAAAGAAAAAATCCTGAACCATCCTACAAAAAGGAAAGGACTCCCAAACTGATCTACAAAAAAGAAAAAAGAAAACTGAATCTTCTCACAAAAAAAAATCTGCTAGCCTATGAAATAAAAAAAGGGGGAAAGGGAATAAATAAAGAATAAATTAAAAAAAATATTTTTTTAAAAAGAGGGGTAACGAAGTTAGGAAAGTTAAAAAAATTTTTTTTTAAAGGGAGGACGTCAAAGTTAGAAAGATAAAAAATTTTTTATAAAGAGGAAATAGAAATAGAAAGAAGAAAATTTTTTTTAAAAAAAAAGAAGAGTGGGAATAAAAGAATAAAATCATAAAATTTTTTTTTAAGGGAGAGTGACGAAAAAAAACTTTTTTAAAGTGAGGTACGATAAAAAAATTTTTTTTTTAAAAGGGGGGTGATGAAGAAAGAAGAAAATTTTAGAAAAAATAACAAAAATAAGACAAGAGAAAAGAGAAAGGAAAGGAAAGACAGAAAGGAAGATCGGAAGATCAAACTCATCAAAGTAAGGGTTAAATCAATAAACAATCACGTGATCTCGTGTTATGATACGGGATTTTTGTAAAATTATCTTCTAAAAATATTAAGTTTAAAAATTCCGTATACATTCCGCATGATTAATTTTTTCCGTATACATTATTTTTTTAAAAAAATGTTCAAAAATGAATTGCTTATTAAATATACGGAATTTGTATACGGAATCTATAGAAACGTACATAAAATGTATACAAAACGTATCCTTTCCGTGTACATATTTCTTATAGGGGCTTATCATACTCACCATTCTGTTTTTTAATAGTGATTTCACGACATTAGGGATTTTCTGTGATACATTTAAATCGTTCTGAATTGATATCACGTAAAGTGTTAAAAATGCAAGATGTCGCCTTGTCCTTTTGTTATCGTGACTTTTCGAAGGGAAAGAAATCAAAATATTTTGCGTAAGGACTATTTGCAAATGAATTGCTTTGTATAAGACTTCTAATAGTACTAGCCATGGTATATTTGAAAGGAAAGTACTCGTAAGAAACTGTCAATTCTGAAATAAAAATCTTGACTTAGTATACAATGAATTGGCGGATATAAACACGATAAACATGAACATAAAAGGAAAATCTGTCTTAAGTAGTGGTTTCTCCAAGTAAAAAATGTTTCTAACATGGCTCCGCACAAATATAAATAAGTCACATTAATAATCGCGTCTTAGTAATCTTAGTACTAGTTAGTAGTTGCTAGTGTAACTAGTATGTGAAGTCAAAAGTCGAATCGCGTTGTAATAATATAATATATATACTTTACAATGTTTTTTCGTACGAATATAATAAATATCAAATTCAAAAGGAGATATATATTTTGAAAAACTGAAACATACTGTTTTTAAAATAGAATTTTCACATCAATCAGATTATTTCTCATGCGTGTAAGAGACTTTTCTGGATTTTGGAGATTACGGAAGTTTATCCTGTTACGCCTGTTACGAAGTGCAAATATAACATCACTGCTTCGCCAGTTTTGGAGTTTTCGTCTGATTTTATATTGATACAATCCTATTATACATATGGTGCCGGAAATGACTTCAAAAACATATATAATAGGCCAAAATTTTTCATAATTTAGGCCAAATATTGTAAAAGTAACTTAATTTCAGCCTAAATTACATTAATTATTTTAAGAAAAATAATTATAACGATATATATGAAAATATTTTAATTATCATTTTTGTTGTCACAACGTTTACGGCTGATTTATAGTCACGTGACTTTGATTTGTCGATAGGTCCAGAGAAAATTGAAATTAAGCAAAAAATTAATTCAACATTGCATCCAAAGATTAAATGCATGATTTAAAATATTTTTAATAAAGAAAAATTGATCGATAATGACCTTCAAAAACTCAAAAATGACGAAATTATCGGCAAATGACCGGCAACGATTTTATAGTAATTTACAATTGCTTAATAGATTTTACAATTTTAATTCAGAATTTATATATTTATTGATCATGGAATTAATTATTAAAGCTTAAAATGGATTATCTTTTAAGGAACAAAAAATCGAATATACAAAGATTCGATAATCGATTCCAATCCCTATCCACCGTCACGACGTCACGTTGAAATAAAAATAAAAATAAAATAGATTTCCAGCACCATATAACCATATTCAACTAAATCCTCTATAAAAAATATAGTATAATTTGTGTACTGTACCAATTTCTTATATGTCATATAATTAAAGCTCAACTAAAATTCTTTTATGCAAAATTGCTTTCATAATGGTTTTTGAGTCACGTGAGAAATCATACCGCAGTAGTACGTCATTGATAACAAGAATCATATTACAACAAAATTCGAAATATAGTGGACACTTGAAAATTTTTATTGTCGGGATTGCGGGTTACTCGGCTAGTCGGGTTATTAGAAACAATTCAAGTCTCGACAATCCAAAATCACGACAAGTCATTATATCGACAATTTTGTAAATCTAATGATGTGTTCTAATAAAATAATTTGTTGCAATATCAAATTTTTTATATAATAAACTAATAGTTTTATATTTTTAAATGCAATAAATCTATTAGTACTTTATATTTTCATTTACTATATATTTTATATTTTATTACAGCAAATTTCAAAATATACGGGAGTAACGGGACACTTGAGAAATTTGATTGTCGGGTTGTCGGGTAGCCGGGTTACTCGGCAGTAGGTTGTTTATTAGAAAAGTATAAATAACACGTGACGAGTATAATGAATAGTAGTATATCAGATTATATAATAACCTACTGCCGAGTAACCCGGCTACCCGACAACCCGACAATCAAATTTCTCAAGTGTCCCGTATATTTTGAAATTTGCTGTAATGTAATATTTAGTTTAAATGTGGTAATTTGCCAGGATAATCAACTTGTCGGTATAATAATTTGGCGTTGACTTGTCAAGATTTTGTTGTCAGTCGTTCATACCAAAACCATTAGAAAAGATATATATGATGGCGTAGTATAAAGTATAAAAGTACTATAATTGTATATACTATACTATGTAATGTAATTATGTTGTATTAAAATTTAATTAATGTATACCCATGTTATTTTCTTTTCTAATTACCCGACTAGCCGGGTAACCCGAGTAACCCCTACAATAAAAATTTTCAAGTGTCCACAATATTTCGAATTTTGCTGTAAGTAAATCTGACCAGTTTATGAAATTACATTTTCCGTGAATGGATCCATGAAAGGCTCATTTTTACAAAATTTTTACAGAAATAAAATAACGGATAAAATTTTTTATAGGGTTAGATGGGTCATTTCATTTTTTTTTTGAAAATAACATTCATTTTATTTACTATATGTAATTAAAAAACAAAAAAAGGAAAAGATACTATGTTGATCATGTCAAAAATATCTATCGACAAAATGGTGATTCTTCATGCCCATTACAGCTGATTTCATAATGCAAATTTTTGTCGGCAAATTGAAAAAATAACGAACACATGATTTAGCCAATATCATGTGACACCCTTTTGGATTCAAAGTGTAATTGATTGGCTGATTAGCATCCGACAACCCGACAACCTGACAACTCTTGGGGTATCGGTAAATTGAAGATCGGAATGTCGATCATTTTGGCCAAAATTAACGGTAATTTTTAGCCAAAATGACCATATGTACAACGGCTAACAACGCGATGATACTGATATTTTGAGTCATTTTTATTTCTTTTTTTTTTTATTTTAACCAAAAAATATTTAAAGTTTATTATTTTTTTATTACAAGAAGTTGTCGATACGACATCGTTATTTTTTGATTATTTATTTTAAATACAACTATATCTGTCTCTTATACACATCTAGATGTGTATAAGAGACAGTTATATGATAATAAATTAATTAATATATGTAAATAATAAATAATACTATTAAAAAATATATATATATAATATGTTCTAACTATTAATACATTTAAATAAAAATTAAAAAAAAAAAAGTTTTCTTTATTGTTTTTCATTCCGAAGATTCATTAGATTCAGTTAAAATATCCAAACTTTCTTGAACTTCTTTGTCATTTAATAAGGGATCTAAATTTTTTTGAGCTTTATTTTGGCGATCTAATAATTGTTCCAAATGTTCTAAATTTTCTTGAGCTTCTTGAGATCCGTTCTCAACGGCTTTCTTATACCAATAGATTGCTTTATTCAAATCTTTTTCTACTCCTTGACCTCTCTCATACGCTAATCCAACGCTTATTTGCGCTTCTTCATATTGCTGTTCAGCCGATTTTAAATATAATTCAAAAGCTTTGCCAAAATCTTCATCAACTCCGACTCCTATTTCGTAACATTTACCTAAATTAAATTGGGCGATATTATTCCCTTTATCAGCCGCTCTTTGATACCAATAAATGGCTTTATCCACATCTCTTTCTACTCCGTATGCATATAAATAACATATTCCAAGATTTAATTCACCAGTACTATCACCTTGTTCTGCAATTAATCTATATAATTCATAAGCTTTACTCTTGCTCATATCAGTTCCAACACCATAATCATAACACCATCCAAGTTTAAGTTGAGCGTTAAGATAACCTGTATCAGCCAATTCTTTATAAATTTCAAAAGCCTTCTTTTCATCCTTTTCAACACTTTTCCCTGATCTATAAAAATCTCCAAGTTTACATTGAGCAGCCTTATTTCCTTGTTCAAAAGATTTTTGATACCAATAAAAAGCTTTATCTAAATCTTTATCAATTCCTTCACCATATTCATATAAAGTACCAAGACATTTTTGAGCATCAATATGACCAGCTTCAGCAGCAATATGATAAAATTCATAAGCCTTCTTTTTATCAACATCAGTTCCTATACCATTATCATAACAATCACCAAGTTGATATTGTGCATTTAGAAAGTCTTGATCCGCAGATTTTTTATATAATTCGAAGGCTTTAACTTCATCTTTATCGACACCTTTACCATATTTATAACAATTACCAAGATTACATAAAGCGTGTTTATTATTTCCGGCTTTTTCATACCAATAAACAGCTTTTTCAATATTTTTTTCTGTTCCCATACCTAATTCATAACAAATTCCAATATTATTTTGTGCTTGAGTATTATTTCCTTCGGCAGATTCTCGGTATAATTCAAAAGCTAATTTTTCATTAACTTCAACACCAATTCCATAATCATAACAATAACCGAGTTGAAATTTTGCCATGACGTTTCCATTATCGGATAATTTTTTATAAATTTCAAATGCTTTTTTCTCGTCTTTCTCACAACCATTTTTTCCTAATCTATAATTATGACCAAGATAAAGTTCTTTCTTTTCTTCTTTAATTGTGTAAACATCTCTTGATGTAATATCAGTAGCCGACATGATTTATAGTTTAGTTATATCGATACGAAAAAAAAATTTACGAAAGGTAATAAATATTTTTTAAGGTAAAGAAATATAAGAATTAATAAGAATTATAAGAATTGTGAGAAACAAATGAATTTTAAGTGTTGAGGGAATAAAAAACAGAAAATCGAAACATTTTTATACCATTTTATTTGTTTATCCCTCTTTTAATCAAGCCAAATTCGTAAGATTTATTAAGCATGTTTGGTACTCTTTTTTTGGGATTTTTGCCGATCCAAATATTTACAATAGTATAACAGCCATAACGCCCTCATTCTTTTTTTTTTTTAAAAAAAAAATAATAATTAATATTATGTTGCCTTTTTTTTTACATTTTTGTATCCATTCATTATACACCATATCACGCGCTTCACAAAAATTATTAATCGACTAATCGATTAATCTATGTACTGTTAATAAATTTCTTTTATTTATTTATTTATCTATATTTTTTTTATTACAATGAAGAAAATAAAATAATAATAATAAAAAAATAATATATTAGTCCAGATTTTTCCATATTTATTATTTTCATTTCAAAAAAAAACAATCCGCCATTTTTCCAAAAATAACTAAAATTAATTAAGGTATTCGTCCACATTTTAATATCTTATGACTTTTTCATTGTAAAATTTATTTATTCCAAAAAAAAAAAAAAAATTATCAATGCTCAGCATATTTATTTAATCAAGTTTATTGAGTTTTAAGTGTGGTCACAAAATTTTGTTTGTTTACATGGGCTTTCAAAATAATTTAGAACAAACACCACTTTACTATTTTAGGGAATAAGATCACAAATCATAAATAAAATCATTTTTAATTGGTTCAATTAGTCCGGAAGAATTCTCTCGTACTTTTCTGTGTTCAATTATTTAAATATGTTACTTATATTAATGATAAACAATTGAAAAAAGGTTATTCAATTTCATTCCGAATTAAAAATTATTTATCTCAAATAAATCGAGTACGCTTAATCTTAGATATGTTAAATTTATTGTACAATGATTTCTCTTATTATGATCTTCAAATTTTTAAATTTTCTTTCATATTGGATAGACACGAACAGTTTATCCAAATTAGTTTGAACTTTGATTGTGTCACTAGATTTTCTTTTTTGATGAGATTTTATTGTTTAATTTTTATTTACAAATTGGCGAAATTAAAGAGTTGGCGTACGAATTAACAGACCATTCATGGAATCTTGACTCCGTAAAGAAAACGTGATTTCAGGACTATTTATGCAACAGAATCATCTTTACAATTAATTTAGGAACAAAAGATTTTGTAATTACCGTAAATTAATTAATATTTTTTTTTTTTTTTCGGATTTTTTTTATGCGAATCTAATATTTTCTTATATTGTTCTTGCTAAATAATTAATGATAACATTNTTTTTTTTTTTTTTTTTTTTTTTTTTTTTTTAAAAAAAAAAAATAATAAAAAATAGGAACAAAAATTAGAAGTAATTTTTTACCAGCAATTTTTTACCAGCTTCTTACAAATGAGCAAACTAATTTTACCAAAAATCACAAATTTAGAATGACCTTTTTTTATTTTAATTATGTGATTTCCATGTGATGTCCTTATTCGAAAATAGTTGATTTATTGGTGAAACAAATCGTTAAATGTAGTTATATTCAAGGAGAACTTGTGTTACATTTTGACATTTTGTTTCAACCAATAATATAAATTTACAAAAATTAACTGTATTGTTCTTGCATCAAATAGGGGTTAACCTATTCAATGAATGAAAAATTATGTTCAACAAGCAATCTCTTCTCTTTCTGGTCTCAATGGACCTTTAAGCGTCGGTTTGATTAAAAAAATGTCATTATGTTATACTACGACGTACCGTACTTGTATAAAGAAGTAAAGTTATCATCAGAGTTCTTTGCTTTTGTTTATCGCAGAATTTATAAATTTTAATGCATCAATAAGGAAAAATAACGAATTATTAGCTATTTTAATTTACTTATCAGCCATATATGTATATTATGTATATATCTCTTAAATGGAAATTCATAGTTTTCAATTCTTTTTATGACTTTTATGTTATATTATTTTACTGGGATAACGATTATGTATTTGATTATTAATTACACATATTATAAAATTACTATTTAAATCCGATTATATAATGCACTTGTTGTTGCTAAAAGTTTATTTCGGTTGAACCAATAAAATCATACAAAAATGATGTACTTTTAATTTCAATATAAGTGGTGTAAACATCTTTTTTAATGCAATATTTTCCAGTAATACATACAGTACCTGCCTAAGCTCTGTTTATTACTTACTACATGCTTCAATAGTAATATACGATCCAAGGCGATCATGATTAACATTTTCAGGAGAAGCGGTCCTACATTATTAATTGTGGCTAGTAAAATGTGATAACCAAATTACATTGTTATATTGTAACTCCATATTCTAAGAATTTTGGTAAAAACCGATATTCGGATATCATGTTAGACGGATTTGTTATGTTATGTCTTCACTACCTGTTAATATTAGAAAATTAATAAATTACGAATATAAATAAATTATAACATAACACCATTATTATACCTTTACCTATTTGAAGACTATCGTGGCTTTCCGGCTCCTTTGTAGAATCTAAAATTAAATAAAAAATTATCTCTCTATTTTTAGCACATAAAGTTAATTCGCAATCTGACTAACCTTGTAACGTTGGCGTACTACTACCATCACCACCACCATCACCACCATCATCATCATCATCATCATGATTAGTATTATTTTGAAGATTTAATATTTCCTCTAACTTATTAAAAACTTGCTCAACTGATGGTCTTGCATCCGATTCACTATTCCAACAAGATTGATACAATTTCATGTATTCACAAGGTGTGTTAGAAATGGGATCTTCTCTCGTACCCTTTATTAAACTTAAAGTTAACATCTTTAAATTATTATTATTATAAAATGGAGGATGACCGCTAGATAATTCCCACATGAGAACACCTAAACTATAAATATCAGACTTTTTATCGTATGTATAAGAATCGCTTTCTAATAATTTAGGATCAACATACGGAATCATACCAAATAAACCTGAATGAAGATGTGTTTCGGTTTCTGTACTTTTTGCAATACCAAGATCAATTATTTTAGCTTCCCCTTGATGTATTACTATATTTTTGGAATGTAAATCTCGATGAAGAATATTTTCTCCATGAAGATATTTGATTCCTTCAGTAATTTGATAGGCTAATTTGATTTTATCATTCCAAGTTAATTTTGAAAATTTTTTTTTAAGATAATTGCGTAAATTTCCACCATCAGCATATTGCATTATAAATAAATACTCTTTTGTACATTCATCTGTAAATGAATAATAAACAAATATAAGTATTAATTATAATTTAATTTATATAATAAATTAAACCTTACCAAAGCTTATTCCTAATATACGTATAATTCTTGAGCAAAAATCAAGTCTTCTATGCATGTTTAATTCGTGGAGAAATGCCTCAATTTGTTTATAATTAATTGATTCAATATTTTTTAATCTTTTACAAACAACCTCATTATTTGTTTTTTTCCAAATAGTTTTTAAAATGATTCCAAAATGACCACTTTCTATAGGTTTCGCTACTATTGATAATTCGCTTAAATTAATAAATTTAACAAAATGATTTCTTACAATAAAATCGATAAATTCTGATGGCTCTAAATTTTTTTTGTTTGGAAGCACTATATCTTTTAATTCTTTCGTTTCTTTTGTTATTGTCGGTTTTTGAATTTTATTAGTTGTAAGGAATTCTAGACATATCGGAGTTAAACTATTATGGTAAACAGACGACCACCATTTCAATAAAGTATCATGTATTTCAGAAATATCAGGGCGTAAATCTGGATCAGGATTCCAATATTTTACAATTAATTCTTTGTAACTTTTTGGTATATCATTTGAAATAATTGGGCGCATCCCATGGCATATATATAATTTCATAAATATATGATATTCAAAATTTTTAGAAGGGATAAAAGGAATTCGTCCAGTTCCAACAGTGTACATAATCATCCCAAGTGAATAAATATCGCTGGCCTTTGTATAAGATCTGCCACTTAAAAATTCTGGTGCCATATAATGTTGATTCCCAAATACGTTCGTATAAGTGTAAATTGAATCCTTCCAGCATTTTGAAAATGAACCTATTGCACAGAGGCTATTATCAAATACTAATACATTAAATGGATGAAAATTTCTATGAACATATCCAGCGTTATGTAATGCTTTCAAATCTTCGGCAAGGTAATAAAGTAAATGTAATTTTATCTCCCAGTCTATATTATCAAAATTATCAACAATGTAATCATATAATGAACCATTTTGAGCATATTGCTTTATAATAAGATATTCGTTATTTTCAGGTTGTTTAGATATTCCATAAAATTGTATTAATAATCCATAATCCTGTGAGTGACAATCTAGATATATTTTGAGCTAAAATGTGTTTAAATCTATTTTAATGATATTAATTAATGACTAAATAAAATACACTATTTAGATTACCTCATTTAAGATTTCATCAACTTGATTCTCATGATATAATTTGATAAGAACTTGAACTTTAGATCTTTTATATTCTTGATTTTGTTGATCCCATAAAATTCTTGGTCCATCCGTCCAAACAGCAGAATATAAAGTACTTTCTGATTGTTTATCTAAATATTTTATATTACTAAGTTTTTTAAAAGGGAGAAAGTTTGAGGTCTTGTAGAATTTAATTGTGAATTTTGAAGAAATTGGTCAATGTCCTCATTTTCGCTGGTCCATTTTGAAAAATTTTCTTGACATCGTTTTCGTTCACATGATTGACACCATTGATAATGACTTCTACCTTTTTCACACTTTATACAAATTCCATATGAAATATTTTCTTCTGATTCATCTTTTTCAGAAAAAGAATCTGTAAATTAAAAACAAACGAATATATGTTTGTGTAATTAATGAATATTTTCAATATTTTTTAAGATTGTTTCAAAACTTTCAATTATACCTTCAATTACTTCTGATTCATTTTGTGATATGATTTCCTCGTCGTCGTCTGGTTCTTGTGATAAGATTGAATTATATTCATTAATTTTATCTTCTAAAAATGTGATTTCGATTGGGTCCTGCATTAAAAGAAGGATGTTATACAAAAAAAAAAGAAAAAAAAATTGTTCGTTTATATATCTGATATATATATAAATGTTTCACAAATTTCCTATTATGTAGAACAAAATATCACCTGAGTGGGTGAAGAGATGAACATATCAAAGTGGCTGACACGTGACATATATTTATTCAAGTCATACTTACTATATTTTCTTGTATATGTATACGGTATATACAAACCACTCGTGGTAAAAATTTAAACAATTTAAATCCTAAATTTCCGATAATACGCAAAAAAAAATCATTTAAATGACGTGAATATATTCTAAAGGTTGGAATAGGTTAATGTCGTTAAAACTATTTGGACCATAATTCTGGTCAGATTTATATAATGTAAGCCTGAAATATGCAATACCAAGATCGAAAGTTTGTCGATAATAGGCTTGATATAATTTATATTTCGAACGATCTAATACGATTTACATTTTACAGTCAAAAAAGTTTTAAACACTGTATTTATTAATATTTGAATAAAAGTATTGATTACAGTCAGCCCTTTACATGAGCATAAGTGCATAACAATTAACGTTAATTAACCAGTTAAGTCCGCCTAGGTTAACCGCTTTTAACATGTTGAAGTTTATTTGGATACTTTCAACCTCTAATCTATTCGCTAATGTAAAATTATTTGCTACTAAATAATTAGAATTTGAAAGCGGGAATTACTTTTCTTCTTTGGTTTAAGAACGATTTATTAAAAAAGATAAAATAAAAGAGTAAATATTTGTATATATATTTCGCCGGATAAATCAAAATTCGTACATACATGTATCTTATTTTTAATTTTTCGGTGAATATTGCAAATTATTCAATTGGCAAATATTGCGAAATCAATCATAATTACATAAAATCTTTAACTGGTTAAAGGAATGAATATGTCGTGAAAAAAGATCTATTTATACAAATATACAAATTGAGAATATATGTGTCATAAATTCTGAAAGATTTCTTATTCCAGGAAACAAAAAAAAGGAAAATTTATATTAATACTTTCAAAGAAGCTTGATTCATGAACATTTTGATCAATTCATTTGTGACTAAATAATTTATTATTTAATAGAGTAAGTGGATTAACAGATAGTAGATTTCTAAGAGAATCATTAACTATACCATTAATCCAAGGATTTGAAAGGACTTTGCAAAATGCTGTATAATTAAAAATGATAACTTTAAAGTAGGTGATTTCATTATTAATTGGAAAGACAAGCAAATAATCAAATTGGAAGTGTTGTAATTTGACAAGCCATTTTATATTAACGAAAGGTTTTGTGTTTAAAATTTTCAAAAAATTGTACCTTTCATATTTAATAAGTAAAGTATTAGATTGAAAAAATTATTTTAAAATTAATTTAGAATGCTATTTATTATAGAAGTTAAAGAAAAAGAATTTTGCAAAGTTATCTGTGTAAATATTTAATTCGAAGATCGCACAATTATATGATGCAATGGGATTTTTGGTTTTAGTATTTTTATTACAAAGCGTTTCTTAAACATGTTAAGGTATGACAAAATCAATCCTAAAATGTAAATCTATCAAATAAGTTATATATCCATATCATGATAATTTATTTTTTAAAAAAAGAAGGAAATAACTGTTGATTTATTTTATTTCAATTTATTTGCTCTTTATTACAGTTGAAATTATGATGAATATTAACCCACGGATTGCTCATTAACCCGTAAATTATATTATTCATGGATTATTCACATAAACCCGTGACGCTTCAGTTAAAAATGATTTTGCATATCCGCATTATCCGGATACCAATGGGTAACATATACTGTACATACGATTGGCATATGGAAAGCCACCATAGTCAAAAGTTCGTAGTAATTAATATACAGCGTATACACGTTAAATTATGTAAGCGTTTTTTACGGCGGGATATCCCTGAAATTAACAGGATACAGGGGCTAACCTGTTGTAGGGACAGTAGGGTACCTAGCGGTACCTGCTATAACAAACGGCAGGTGCTTGCTATAAAATGGCCCACTATTAGAGGGTGTGACATTTATAATAAAAAATTTTTTTGCGAACATTATGACAAACTTTAGAAATTATCTAATGAAATTTTATTAGTCTACAAATCTGGTCATAAATGTTACAGCTTTCTAATCTTTGAGTTTTATGAATAAAAGAATCAAAGAACCCATTGTATAAATTAACTGGTACCTACACTTGGGTGTGCAGGATGGTAGATAGTTCTTTTGAACATAAAATCATAATATTATAGTATAGTTCGATCGTGTTCTTTACTAAATGTTGTATAATGTAGATTTTTTCCTTTTTTGTAATTTTCTTAATTTCCTAATAAAGTAATAAAATGACTTCGTCAAAAAAAAAAAATAAATGTATCTGTAACAACTTATTTCCAAGCGAAAATACTAAAAACCATAACTATTCTACTTTCTTTACCCATCCCTAATTATTATTTTATGTTGTCATCTTAAAAATTATACATCAGAATATCAAAGTATTACCCTTTTATCATTTTAGTATACGATATAGGAAATTACGATATAGGAAATTTAATATTTTACATTCTCCGCCTATGTACTGTAACATATTAAATATATTTATTTTTTCACCCGAATTTTCACCCCAAATTTTTTTAATATTTTTATAAAAGATATACTTATATATACATATTTGATGATAAGTCAACTGATTTTGGAGATAAATATCAACGTCAAAAACAAGTAGTGCATATTCGTACTATATTTTATTTATTTTAGAAATATTTTTATCTTCTTAATACTCTCATGATTTTTTTAAATATAAATTTAGGAATAAAAAAGAAATGAAGTTCTAAGTATCATTAAATTAATAAATCAAATTAAAAAAATAAAACATTGTTATCAAATTATTTTCGATTCATCTGTTTCAAAATTCTAAAAAAAAGGATAAAAAAAAATTTGTTGAATTAATTATTTATAAAAAAGAAGCATCAACTTAATAAATTATCTAAAGTATGCTAATAATTTTGACCGGTATTAAATAAACGAATCTATAGTAGAGTAAAATAATACCAAAAAGAAAATTTATTAATAATGTACAAACCTGCTTTACTTCCGTCTGTAAATCATATAAAGGATAAGTTTACTAAAAGTAAGGATCTTCGCATAGCAATATACCGTGAGAATATGATCATATGATCATCAGAAATTACCTACAAAAAAAGCACCGATGTATGAGTAACACGGATCACTGTAACGATTAATTAGCAAAAGGAAATTTATAAATAGTCTATCAAGAAAACGAATAGGAATTAAGGAATTTAACGTCACCCTTATTAGGGACCGCCAATCAGATACAACCACCCCACTTAACATACTTTCCTCCAACCTCCATTAAAATATGCGTATGAGGATCCTTATCATGGTCCTGCCATGTAAGAGAAGATTTTGCGGCACCCTTATTATAATTTAACCATTAAATTATAATAATTCGGTATCCTGAGATGACGCGTGTGTTAACAGTAAGGAACAGGTCTCTTACCTCTTTCTACTTTCATCTGTAAATAATACTAAGGACGAGTTTACTTAGAGCAAGGTTCTATACTGCTCCAAAGTGTGTGAGAGAAAATAAACATAAAATAATTTTTAAAAAAGAAAACCTTTTTTAAAATAATATCCTCCGCACAGTGTAGAAATAAAAAAGAGAAGATAGGTTATTACTTGGAAATGATAAAAATGAGGCGGGAAGAGACAAAAGAAGAGGATGGGATTTTTTTTAAATTTTTTTTTTCGGGTGGAATGGAAAGGTATTTTATATAAAAATTATGTTATAGTCAGAGTATAGAGTAAAAATTTTGCGTCATGACTCATTATCATAACACGCTTTGAGAGTTGAGACGCGATTTATATATGAGAAATATATTATTCTTACGTTTTAGTTTATTACACAAAAACAATATATAAATTTGTTAGCTATTGTTAGAGTACAAAAAAATTGTCATACAAAAGATTTTTTTCCACGGAGTTTAGATGATTATTGATTATGTGATCATGTGATCATGCTTTTTATACATGTTGATTTTCCCAAATCAATATAGATTCTTCAGTAAAAAAATTTTCATTTTAGATGACTCAATAACTCATGATTATTGATCATGTATACATGAGATCATGCAATAACGCGTGCGAAGTATTAGAAATATATTATTTTTTACATTTAACAAATGTTTAGTAATTTATTACACAAAAGCAATATATAAATGATTTGTTTGATCTTATACTCTCCACTCCGTAGGAAAAAATCTTTTGTATGACAACTTTTTGTACTCTAACTATTTATACAATATAGATTTTAAGGTAAAAATTATATCATTAGATTCCTGAGTAACCATGTTTCGCTATAAAGCTGCCAGTCGTTAGGCCTCATATTTGACGGTTTTCTGTGCTCTGAAAGAAGAAAAGTCAAGTCAAATGCCTATTATGTCAGGGCTTTCATTTTGAGAATTGAGCAGCTGCGCTAATCCAACGTACAGAATAATGGCAGCTCCGCAGCTCCTAATCATTGCTGCACTCCAGTTTAGTAAGTTAATTTTTTGAATTGATTATTGCCGTTTTCAGAAATGTTGGCACTCAATGTGTCAATCATTTTTACAAAACGAACACACCGAACACACCGAACACACCGTGAACACATATAAAAAATTATGAGAACTTGAATTGTGTGTATATAGTTTTACATAAAAACTATTTTTATCAATTTTTAGTTATGAAAAAAATTGAAAATGTTAAAATTTATACCGAACACACACCGAACACAACTGAACACAACCAAACACAACCAAACACACTGAATATAAGCGAATACAAGCAAATACAAGTGAATACATATATATAAATAATATAATTTTTATACATTTTTTTATGCACACTACCTAAAAATATATTATCGAAGTCTAATTTTTTGTTTTATAAAGGAAAAAATTTTTTTTTCGCAATTTTAATTGCTGTGTTTTGTTTGTGTTCAGTGTGTGTTCGGTGTGTTCGATTTGAGAAATGATCGACACACTGAGTGCCAACATTTCTGAAAACGGCAATAATTAGAACATTTTTTTTATAGACTTTTTTTATTTTATGATTACGTTAATCCCCAGTTACAATGACAATATTGTCAGCTAACTAGTTTACCAGTAACGTGCCATTTCTTTATCTTTTTTAGGTTTTTAGATAGTTTTTAAACGGCTCTTAGGCAAATGGCAGGTAATGGAGTGTATATATATATAATTTATTGCTAATGGCGTTATAAAATAATAACTAACGCCATTATTTTCTATTTTTTAGATTCTTTAACAGTTCTTGGATAACTCTTCATGGTAAGGACTTTCGGTTGAGCTCGTGGTAATGTTAATAGTAATACTAACGTCACTATTTTTTTTATTTTTAGGATTCTTGATAGTTCTTGGATAATCCTTCGCGGTAGGTCTTTTGTTCGGGTATTAATGGCGTTATTAAAATGCCTTTTTGACGATTATTTGCGATAAGTTTCTTTGGGTGATTATATGGTAGTATTAATAGCGACATTAACACCTTTTACTTCTTTCTTTTTTGATTTTTAGACGATTCTTTGATAATTGTTCATGGTAAGTCTTTCGGGTGGGTGTTAATAGTACTATTAAACTTAATAACCCCCTTTTTTTTGTTTTTAGGTTTTAGGATAGTTTCTGGATGTCTCCTTGCGGTAAGTTTTTAGATAAAAAACACAGATTTCTTACCAGTAATAAGTTTCTTTTGGTTGGTATGTCGTTAAGAAACAGTACTAACATACAGTAATTTCTTCTATTTTTTAGGTTCTTGGACAATGCTTTGAACGATTTTTGGATGTAACATTATGGTAAGTTCTTTTTGTTAATGCAATAATGGTATTATTAAGCAAAGCTAACACATTTTTATTTATTTTTTTTATGTTTCTTGGATTAAAACGCGTAATGTAGATCAGATATGATAGTAATGTCAAGGTCATCTAAGACGTGACATCTAATATTAGAACTTAGAAGTTGCTTGTTGGAATCGAACCAACAGGAACAATGTTCCAAACCATTAACAACATAATATAAATAGATAGAATAGGAAAAAATTAATGGATATAATTTAAATATAATAATAAAATAAAATAATAAATAAAATATAGATAAAATAAATAATAAGAAATCAGGTTTCGATATAGTAAATATACACCTGATATCATAAATAGTTTGGTAAGGATTAAGAGAAATATTGAATTGCTGAAATTCTCCCGATATTCATATAGCACTTACCGTCTTACCGTTGATTAAACATCCAAACGTTTCGATCTCCTATAATCTAATAACTATAATACATGTAAAATTAATTGACCTAGGCCGATTTCTTAGAATATACAAACTAGAGTCATACCTTAAGACTAGTGGCCGGCCCTTACTAAAAGTATTATATATACCATAAATTTTAACACTTATCTGTTATTTGTAGAAACAAAAGTATTGGTAAGATATAATTTAATTTTCATTTGAAATAAATAAATAATTTATTTTATTTTTTTCATCTAAAATAATTCAATTTATTGTTTTTTACGTTTTTATTTAATTGGCCTTAAAAGAAGAATTTTTTTTTTTGAAATTTATAAAAAACAACATTTTAACAATTTTTTTTAAAACATTTTTTCATTTCTAACCAAAATAAAATTATTCAATAAAATTTATTTCACATGATTAAAAACTTATTAATATTGTAGGATATTTCAAATCAAATTTGGATGAAATTCTATGCCCACATATTTTTTTTAATAAATCAATTCGTATAATATATATAACTTTTTTAATAAATCAATTCATGTAATATATACTTTAATAAGTAAATTCATAATATTTTTTAATAAATAAATTTAATGAAATTCGGTTAGTAGACTTAAATTATGTGTACTATTACTTTTATTTTAAATTAAATTCCGCAGCAAATGTGCATTGTGCGACAAAACTAATATAAAGCCTTCAAAGAATTTTGACAAGCTTAATAGCTAAAAAAATATTAAATACTTTGATTTCAATTATCTTTCTGAAAAATCTTGTATCTTTCACTAATACTTGGGGTAAAACAAAAGATAATTTTATTATTTTTTAACACTATGAACATTAAAGAAGTAATACAACAAGTGCAAATTACGAATTACTAAATTTTGGCCATTTGTGTGGTCCACAATTTGTGATAATTTATTCGGTTCATAAATCCTATTGTAAAGTGAATAAGTAGATTTTTGACAAGTTTACTTTAAACGTTACAAAAATTTTATCGACCAAAATTATTCAAAATATATTATTTTCCATCATACTGTATATCTCGTAACGAATTGATGGATTATAAAAAGTAAGTTTGTCTTTTTTTAACCAAAGAGCGGGAAATTAAATTTCCTTTTTTTAGTACCATATCAACATACCCATGGTATAGTAATGTTAAAAGTAATGTTTGTTATTAACAATTGCATTTTATATTTATTTATTTTAAGCAACATTAAAATAAAGTCATTAAATTATCGAAATCTCCAAATTGGATGGCTTTATTAATTTAAATTCTTCAATAAACACTACAATAATAGTAATTTAGGTTTTGAAAATATCAAACTTAAAGCCAAAATTCTTTAGTAATCAGTATTACTTAATTGGTACCTTGAAAACTAGTCTCAAATCAATCCATTTTATATTGCATACTGTATTATTATTAATTTGCAAAAAATTTTCATAGTCAGTGATCAGGATGAAATTCTTTCATTAGTTTCGTTAAATCTTTTTTTTCTTTTATGCAAAAATTAACAAATTATTCTTTTATGCTCTGGATCAGTGTTTTTTTGTGGATAGCTGTTTAATATAAATTGAAATTCTTGGTTAGTGTGGTTGTCTAGTTAAAATTGAAAAAAAATTAAATAAATTTAAGCAAGATGTAACAAGTATTTCAGCATTCTTTTCTTTATGCACAATAATTTTAATTTTTAATTTTTTTTTTCGGTTTGATCTGTAAAGTTAGACAGACATTCAAAGTTTTACGTATATTATCTTTCGTTCATTTACAAATCACAATATTAAACTTAACCACTTTATTAATATAATTTTCAGATAAACCAGTACAATATTTTCAACAATTTATTCTTATTATACTATACTAAGCCTGTAAATATTATTGAAATATTCGAATTATTTCCCCATTTCCTAATAAAGTTAACGTAATGGTTGACTTGCAAAGACAATGCATATGTTTTCTGATATTTTTCCTGTATGTATAGTATAATAACGACTGCTCAATCATGTCTTGATGTCTTGATGAGGCGTCAGGATTATTTGACAAGTACATTTTTTGCTATCTCCCAGTAAATATCCTAATGACATAAAGATAATATTTAGCAAAAAAAAATTTTCATCTGGTTCTTAATTTTTTATCATACTGTAATAATAATAAACATACCACTCCCCAAATGATATATTAGAATATTTGAGAGATTTCTCAGTTATAAGAGATATTATATAAAAGGGATATCACGTAATCCATAATTCTATTCATCGTATATGGGAATAACTAAGCGTTGACTAATAAATTTAATTGATTGATTAAAATCTTAAAAAATATTATAAATCATGCTAAACTTAAATTGCGTTAATCGTACCAACACAATTTCTAATTTCCATAAGAATGTTTTCAATCCTTATCACGCAAATCGCTAAGAATGAAAAGCGAAGGATATATATTTGTACCATGGAGTGATGATGGCACTACGGTAATCTATGAAAAATAAATCTTTTAAATAAATAATTAATCAAGCAAATTTTGCATAATGGTAAACTTACCTTTTTTACTTCCATAATAAATAATCCAATTACCACTACCAAGACAATAACTTGAAATATATATAGTAACTATAAATTCTACTGAATATGTTAGAATTATATAACAAAAAGTTACTGGAAATTTATGTATTAACGAAACTTATGTTGATAGAAGCTAAGATTTGGAGAACATCTAGTAAGATTGAATGTCAGCTATTGAATATAAAGATTTTTCAATCTACAGTGAAAAATATTTGTAAACCCAGGATGTGATTTAGTTCGACTTTGAAGTACACTACCAAAGAAATGCCAATTCCTTCATTATCCTTCTATAAAAGACAAATATATATGAAATAAAAATAACCAATTATTTAATATTTTAAATTATCTTACCATCCAAATAAAACCGTAGCGCAAATCTTTGCTTTGAATATTCGGTGACAGTAAACATATGAATAAATAAATACTATTCCAATTGAACGAACTCCACCATCTACACCTCCACCATCATCATCCAATTTATGACTCTTCCTGACATTTTCTTTATTTTCTGATATCATCATTAGAAAATGATGTATTATCTAAATGATCTTGTATATTGGAAGGAACATCAGCAGGAACTGATAATTGTTATACTTTTGATCTGATAATATTACGAGGTAGAGATTCTAAGAAGTATCTAGCCCACAATCTATTAAGAAATCATCAATTTCTTCTTAGTTACGACTTAGCAGACGCTATTTATTAAAAATGTTCAGTTTAATTAATTAATTTACTAGTACCAATTTCATTTTGGTACAATTTATAACAGACGAACTATAAATTTTTTTTTGGAGTAAACGTGAGAATCAAAAGTAAAGATCTGATTTAATGTTATTTTTTAACGTATGAAAATACAGGCGTGTAATGAACGACATATTTCTACCGAATACTGTAGTCATTATTTATCTACAATGATTTTTGATGTGCGCAGTAAATTTTTCCTTTACACATTAATTGGGTTATTCAAAATTATTTTTTAGGATAATTTTTTTTTAAAAAAAAACCACGATATTCAATTTATTATTGAATGAGTTACTAAAATGGGAGGTTTTAACCAAAAATGGAAGGGTTGACCACGATTTATTTATTTTTTTCGGGCCGTATTATTTCCGATACAATGATCTGCATTACATTTTTACATTGTTATGACGAATATTTAGAAATTTTCGTTGATTTTTATTTTTCGGGCTATATTTCATTGTGGTTGTTTGCGTTATTGGATAAGAAATGCCTATAATCTTATTTACCATTAATTTTCTCAAATTTTTTCAAATTTAATTAATTACAAAAATTAGAATTACGTAATATCATATCAGATATGGGCCAATCTAAATTTAGAACTCATTTATTGTAACTTTTGACATCTATATTTTCATCAAAAATAGATTTAATTCATATATTTAACTTTTATTATTTTTTAAGCATATGATATCCAGAAAAATTTTTTTTGAAAAAAATTCTTTTTTTAATACTATTTGTATATTTGTAAAAGTATATTTGTGAGTATAACGAGTATAACAGGACACTTAATTTATAATAATCATTTTTTTTTATACTATGTGTCGACTGTATCGTCAAATTTTTGAGAATATAAAAAAATTACTATTGAATGTAATTATTACAATTATATTAAGTATAACGATTTTTGTACACCTGTATAATAAGTTTTATTTGTGAAAATATTCAATTCATACCCATTTATTTTGTCTACCAATTTCATTGAAGAACATGCTGATAAAAATTTTTCTTATAATCTTAAAAATTTGTCAAAAATTAGGCTTGTTTATTTTACATTTACATTTTTTTTATTTTATGAATCTTACTTAAATAGAGCTTTTAATGCTTTTAATTAAAGTTTATTTAAATAATAGGAATAATAGGATGTTAAAATACATAAATTGTTTGAAAATTTGCGTATGTCTTACTATACTAAAACACAGTGAAATTAGACACATCGGACCAATTCTGTTTCAATAGAAAACTTTTTCAAGAATTTGGTATATTATGGAAAACATGTTATTGATGTAGATCAGTGCATCGGAAAAATATGGCCCGAAAAAAATTGTAACTTCTACTTTTGGTTAATTATTCCTTTTTAGTAACTCATTCATGGCATATTGACAAAAAAAAAAAATAATTTTTTTTTTTTTTCAAAAAATTTTTTATCGGTAAAATAAATTTCTATAACCAAATGGAAACTAAACTTATTAATTTAAATATCTCAGATAAAGATACTGATACAATGAATACCAAAAATTGTTGTAAACCATTTACTGAAGAATTGGGGTGTAAAGAATGTATTGATTCTTTAGAAAAATTAGCAGAAAATGGAGATAAAATAGCAATGTTTAATTTAGCCAGAGATGGAGAAGGAACAGAAAAGGATTTAGAAAAAGCCTTTCATTGGTATCAAGAAGCAGCAGAAATAGATCATATTAATAAAGCAATGAATAGTTTAGCTATATGCTATGAAAATGGAGAAGGAACAGAAAAGAATTTAGGAAAAGCCTTTCATTGGTATAAAAAAGCAGCAGAAAATGGTTACACTTATGCAATGTTTAATTTAGCCATATGTTATAAAAATGGAGAAGGAACAGAAAAGAATTTAGAAAAAGCCTTTCATTGGTATCAAAAAGCAGCAGAAAAAGATCATATTAAAGCAATGAATAGTTTAGCCATATGTTATGAAAATGGAAAAGGAACAGAAAAGAATTTAGAAAAAGCCTTTCATTGGTATCAAAAAGCAGCAGAAAA